AAATAGTGGGAGGAACACTTTGTAAAGTACATGATTAATCCCCATGCTGTACATCGGAAACTAATTCATAATAGTATTGAATGTAAACTGCCATTGAAAAAACGAACAATGGAGTGTCAGAGTTCTGTTGGTTGAAACTGAACAATCAGGCAAATTTTTGCCCTCTTCAGTTTTAACATTACTTCCCATTTAAGTCTCTAGAGATAATACATACGAGAGTAATAGCATAGTCATAAAACTTGAGTTAAAGTTATCAGTGTGACATTTTAAATCAAATTTTGCCTATCACCTCAGCTTTAATTTCTTTTTCTTTTATACTTCACTGTCTCACTGCTGTACTACGAGCAGATGTGGAGAGGGAATGGAAGCGGAGGCTAGTGCCTCCAGGTGATGATCCTGGGAGGGTAACTACTTGTGTGTCTGGAGTTAATGCAACTGCAGTGCATGACTATTATTCTGTAAGATTTTTCTTGTCACAGGATTCTGTACACAGTAGTTAAAAACAAACAAACAAAGAAACAAACAAAAAACCCAACAAAACTGCTAAGACCTAAAAGTGAAAAATTTTGCCAGAGGTTAAGTTTCTGTTCATCCTTCTGTAATGCTAAATTCATCAAAATCTTGAAAAGAATACATAGGGACCAAATTTGGCTTAACTGTGTAGGTACATCCCACTTTAATGTAGGATCTTGAGTGCTTTTCGTGATACTAGAGATGAATTTGCTCGTGTTGGAGCTTCTGAAATAGAAAGGTCTGAATTAACATACTGTGAAGGATTTTGGGAAAACAGCATTTGTTGATACAGTTTGATGCAGCATTTGGCCCTTATTTTTCGTAATATCCAAGGGAGCTTAACTTCAGAATCAGTTGTCTGCTTGCTGATACTTTTTTTAAAAAAAAATTAATACAGATCTTTTTGGAATAGTTTAAAGTTCATAACAAAATTGAGGGGAAGGTACAGAGATTTCCTATATATACCCCAACTTGTGTATTTCCTCCTCCCCTGCTTTATTAGCACTCTGCCAGAGTGGTGCGTTTGTTACAGTTGCTGAACCTACACTGATGCATCATAATTGCTCAGTGTACATTGTGATTTACTCTTGGTTTTATACATGCTATAGGCTTGGACAAATACATAAAGGCATGTATCCATCATTATGGTTTACAGAGAATTCTCAATGGTCTAAAAATCCTGTGTGCTCCCACTGGTCATCCTCGTCCCCAGCCCCTGGCAACCACTGATCTTTTTACATGTCTGTCATTGTGCCTTTTCCAGAGTGTCATATATTTGGAATCATACAGTATGCAGTCTTTTTAGATGGTCTTCTTTCACTTAGTATTGCATTTAAAGCTCCTCCAAGGCCTCCCGTGGCTTGAGAGCTCATTTCTTTCTAGCACACTTTATCCCTTCACCTGCCGAAGGACATGTTGGTTGCTTTTAAGTTTTGGCAGTTATACATAAAGCTACTGTAAACATCATTGTGTAGGTTTTGATGTGGACATAGTTTTTCAAATTAGGCAATTGCCAAGGAGTGCAACTGCTGGATTGTATGGTAAAGGTATGTTTAGTTTTGTAAGAAACCATTAAACTATCTTCCAAAATGGCTGTACCATTTTGCATTTCCACCAGCGGTGAGCTGGAGTTCCCATGGCTCACATCCCCGCCAGCAGCTGGCGTGGTCAGTGTTTCAGGTTTTGACCGTTCGAGTAGCTTATGGTGGTATGTTGTTTTAATTTCCATTTCCCTGATGATACATGCTGTGGAACATCTTTTCATATGCTATTTTCCATTGCCATATGTATATCTTCTTTGGCGAGGTGTCTGCTAAGGACTTGGGCCCATTTTTTCAATTGGATTGTTTGTTTTCTCATTGTTGAGTTTTAAGCGGTTTTTATTGCATATTTTGGATGACACTGCTTCACCAGATGTGTCTTTTGCAAATATTTTCTGCCAGTCTGGGTCTTGTCTTCCCATTCTATTGACATTGTTTTTTTTTACCAGAGCAGACGTTTTTAATTTTAATGATGTCTAGCTTGTCCGTTTGTATGTTTATGGATTTGTATCTTTGGTGTTGGATCTAAAAAGTCATGACCATAACCCAAGGTCATCTGTATTTCTCCTTTGTTATCTTCTGTGGGGTTTTACAGTTTTGCACTTGACGTTTAGGTCTTTGATCCATGTTGTGTTAATTTTTGTGAAGAGTGCAAGGGTGTCCAGTCGTTCTAGCACCAACAGTTGAAAAGGACTGTCTTTGCTTTGTTAGCAAAGATCAGCTGACCGTGTATTTATACGGGTTCGTTTCTTGTCTTCCTATTCTGTTTTATTGATCTGCTATGTTAGTCTGTCCTTTTGCAATACCACATAGTCTTAATTGCTAGAACTTTCTAGTGAATCTGGAAGTTGGGTAGTGTCAGTCCTTTAACTTTGTTCTTCTTTTTCAGCATTGTTTTGGGCTCTTCTGGGTCTTTTGCCTTTCCATGTAAACTTTATACTGAGTTGTCAATATCCACAAAATAACTTGTTGGGATTTTGATTGGGATTGCATTGCATCTGTAGATCAATTTGGATGAAACCGACGTCTTGGTGATATTGAGTCTTCTATCTATGAACATGGAGTATCTCTCCCATTTATTTAGTTCTTAATATTTATTTAATTCTTTGGTTGTGTTATAGTTTTGTAGTTTTATTCTACTTGTATATTTCCTGTATAAGATATAGATATTGTACATATTTTGCGTTTATACCCAAGTATTTAATTTTGGGGGTACTAATGGAAGTGGTATTGTTTTTAATTTCAAATTTTACTTGGTCATCGTTGGTATGCAGGAAAGCAATAGACTTTTGTCTATTAACCTTTGTCCTTCAATCTTGCTGATATTCTTGATAAAACTAAAATAATTTGAGAGAATGACTTAAAAGTACTACATCTCACTTTACCTCTGCAGTATCTTATAGAATGTTCCTTACCTGGTTTTAGTGTTGAACGTGATACTCTGGGAACTGGTGGAAGAGAGTGTTGTAAGGAGGCCTCCCTATGTCAGGAGCTGCTGAGGTGAGAAGAGGATCAGTAATTGACTAATGAATTTAGGCATTTATTGTTTACAAGATCACTTTTGGTGAAGTGGCGAAGACAAAAGACAGACTAGATTAATAAGTGTAGATGATTCTTCTGAGGAGTGTGTTGTAGGGAAAGCAAAATCGTAGGAAGAGGCATGGTCAAGAGTGTTAAAATTGTTCATTTGTTTTTTAAGATGAGGGATTTGTATGCCGATAGAAATGAAATAGTAATATTGATGTGATATATGAGAGAGATGTTATAGTTGCTAAAGTGATGTTAATTCAGTTGTGAGAGGAGATACGATTCAGTGTACAAATAAACAGTTTGGCTCCAGATAGAAGGATGGAATGGACCATTTATTGATTCCTAGTGATAGGAGTTCCAGATAGCTGCCTATGTTATGTATGATGTGTAGATCTGGTGACACAGAAGTTCTCTCTCGACTGTTTCCAGTTTCTCAGAGAAATAGGAAACACAGACTTTGTTGGGGGTTAAATTGTTTCTCCCTAAAAGATTTTGAAATTTTAACTTCCAGTACCCCTGAGCGTGACCTGATTTGGAAATAAAGCCTTTGCACATGTACTCAAGTTGAGTTATACTAGAGCAGGGTGATCTGTACTCTGATCACTGGACAGATACAGATAGACACACATGGGAGAAAGCCGTGTGAAGATGGTGGCAGAGACTGAAGTGACGCAGTTACGAGCCAGCCGAAGAAGGCCAGGTTTTCTGGTAACCCCAAGGAGCTAGGAAACGGCAAGAAAGAGTTCTCCCAAGAGCCCCCAGTGGGAGCATGGCCTTGCCAGCGTTTGATTCCTGACTTCTAGCCTCTAGAACTGAGAAGGAATACAATTCTGTTGTATTAAGCCATGAGTTGGTGGTTCTTTGTTACAGTCCTGGGAGTCTAACACCGGTCTTCAGCTGAGAGAGAGAATGGGGAAGATTTGGTGTGTTGATTTCTCATGGATATTTTTAGACTTTCCTTTTTTGACCTAAGACTTCAGATGAGATCAGCCTTCTTTATCCCTTTCGTTGGCTGGTACACAGAATGTCTCAATGCGTATTTTTAATGGAGGGAGCATCTCTTTAACACCAGGGTCTGAGTTCTAGTTTTTTCACCTTTTGCAGCTCCAAGCATGTGATTTGTCCAGGTAGGTTTTTAAAAATCTGGCTGCAATCCTTAGAACTGATAGACTCTCCCCGCCCCATGCAGTAGGCAACTGAAGAATCAGCTGACGACTATTGCTCTGATTTTCTGACGTTCTATTAAAAAATTTTCAAACATACAGTTAAGTTGAACAAATTTTATAGTAAACACATATACTCACTCTAGGTTGGGGGTCATTCACCTTTTTCTGAAAAGAGCTGGATACTGAATATTTTAGGCTTTGCAGCCCGTGCAGCACCTGTTGTAACTATTCAGCTGTCCCATTGTAGTACAGGTCCAGCCATGGACAATACTTAAATTAAAAAAAAATGTGGCTGTGTTCTAATACAACTTCATTTGTAGACACTGAAATTTGAATGTCACATTTCATGTCATGAGTTACTCTTTTCATTTACTTTCAGTCTTTTCAAAATGTAAAAACTGTTCTTAACTCCTGGACCATAACAAAAACAGGTGGCAGAGCAGATCGGGGCCATGAACTAGAATCGGCTGACCCCTCATCTGGAGGTTCCAGGGAACACTGCTGTGTTTGCTTTGTCACATACCTGTGCACCCACCCACCCCTCTATCAGTCTGGTAGTTCATCTGTTTCGATGCATTTTAACGTAAGTCGTAGACAGTACACTTTATAGCTAAATGCTTCATCATTCATGTCATTAATTAGAGTTTATTTATGTGTGCGTGCGTGTGGTAAAATTTACTTACAGTGACATGAAGAAATCTTAAGTGTACCATTTTTTGATTTTGACAAATCGGACACTTTTGTTGCCTAGAATCTTACCAAGATACGAATAGCACCGTCACAGATGAGCCCCAGCCTTCCAGACTGCTCTCCACATCTTGCCGCGGCCGTCACCGTGGCCACGATGCTGAAACGGAAGAGGCAGAGTCAGCAGCAGCTGCCGCCACCTCTGCAGCGCCCACCGCCCGAGGGGGGAGAGACGGGAGCTGTGACAGGGGAGGGCTTGTGTTTTTTCTTTGTCCTTCATTTTCTTGCTGACTTTTCTTGAGGGTCAGCAGGTCTGTGGCCTCACGTTGATGTTTTTGGTTCTTTAAGATACATAGACTCTTGCTTATTTCTATTTAAATATGAAGATAGAATTGAATAGTGTTAGTAGCTGATCTCAGTTTTTAAATTTAGGGTGAAGGTCATTATTGGATTTTTTAGCAGTTCTTACCTTGAATGTGTGGAAAAACTTCAGGACTTGGCAATATGTTTCACCCTGACCATAGTGTACTAATGGCATATTGACAGCCAGACTTCTAATATGGGTATATAGACAGGCAGTAGCTGAGATCCTTTGTCCATTGTGGAAGTTGGGAAGGGTTACTTTGGGTTGATAGAGAGGATCTGACCACTACATACTGCTGTCCTTCCTTTATTTTTATCTTTGTGACAGTCTGAGGTTATGTGGAGACACTGACCTGTTTCAAGTGTGGCATTGTGCTAGGTCAACTTGGCTAAACTGGAAATGATGTTTCCTAAAATGTCCTTCCCTATATTGTTCTGGTTAGCAGTGGTAACAAGAGACGTTTTGATTAGACTTTAAGGAGGAAGTAAAGTGGCAGGCGATGCCTTTCACTCTCGGAGGGTCAGTGCTGGGAGTATCAGGCACTGTGACAGCTCTCCCATCGTACCAGCTCATCACTGATTTGCCAGCTCACCTTGTACGTTTGGATAGCACATGGTCCGGCAGTTCCTTCAGCTCCTGCCAGATTTCCCTTTTCACCTCGGAATGCTTGCCATGCACTCACAGCTCCCTAGAGAGGGGTGCAAGCTTCTCCAATAGGTCACCCTTTGCATTAGGGTTGGAGATGGTGAGAGACAGATGTGAGTTCCAGTTTGTCACTGGCAGTTCCTGTTGTCCTGACAGATTAAAGTTTGTTCTTGTGTTTCCACTTTCTGTACCTGTTGCATCTCATCTTCACAGGTTCCACTTTGTCCTTGCTCTCCTATCCAGTTCCCCTTTTGACTGCTGGTCTGGCTGTCCTGGAGTCACTGCAGGTGCAGAGGCAAGAGCCTACACCTGCCCTTCTAACTGTTCTCACAGTTACGTAAGGTCTAACCCTTATAATAAACCCTTCTGCCTCATTATCCACCCTGGTTGTTCTTGATCAAACCATAACTGATCCACTCTATCCCAGAGTTCACACTCGAAACCTTTAATATTAGATCTGTACTTAGACAGTTGTTCCTATTAGCTCACTTTAAATTTGGTGTTTGTCTTCTACTGTTGGCACTTTTTCCTTACTTTTTTAGTGCTGCTATGTATTCTCATTTTTATTACTTCATCTGGCATGTCAGTGATATTTTGAGTCTTAAATAATGGTTTGTTTTAAAAACATTTATTGTGCTTAGCCCTGGCTGGTGTGGCTCGGTGGATTGAGCACTGGCCTGCAAACCAAAGGGTTGCTGGTTTGATTCCCAGTCAGGGCACATGCCTGGGTTGCGGGCCAGGTCCCCAGTAGGAGGCGCATGAGAGGCAACCATACACTGATGTTTCTCTCCCTCTCTCTTCCCTTCCCCTCTCTCTAAAAATACAATAAAAGTTTTTAAAAAATAAAAATATTTATTGTGCTTAGATGTTAGTTTTAAAAATATTTAAACAGATATAACAATCTTTTAAAAAGTTCAAGTCTTTTTACCACAAGACGTGTGTAACAAAACAGTGGGTTGGAGAGTCTATAAAACATCCAAAGAAGCTTAATGTTTAGGTGACCTAGAATGAGACAGAAATGAAGGGATTAAGCAAAAAAACAAAGCAAAGCAAACGAACAAAAAATCTCATAGAGACAGACAACACTACTGTGGTTACCAGAGGGAAAGGCAGGTAGGAGGAGGAAGAAGAGGGTAAAAGGGGAATAAATAGTGATAGAGGAGACTTGACTTTGGGTGGTGAACACCAACACAGTATATAGATGATACACAAAAATGGTTCAAGAATTGTATACTTGAAACCTATATAATTTTATTAACCAAAATCACCCTAATAAATTCAATAAAAATTAAAAATAATTCAACTGCAGAGTAATTGATGACAGTGAGGAGAAAAATATACTCTGAAGGAATGTAAATAAATGTACATCAATGATTTTATATATACTTTACATATAAAATACCTCTGAAGAGTATTAAAAAAAACCCAGAAGTATTATTTTAAATCAGTACTATGGCAAAGGCATAGTGTTTGACAACTAACAGGCAGACATATTTTCACATTATGCTACAGGTGTATAATGTAATGGGGTGTGATCAATTACAAAGTAAGGTATAAAACTTTACTTTTTGGTTAACTTTAAAGTGTGTGCACCTGTTTTAGTGACATGTGATTCTTTATTGGTATTGGTTTGTCTATCTTTTGTTTCAGAGTTAGTATATTTTGATTTTTGAGATTGTTTTTTTTGTGGCAAGAGAATTGTTTGTAGTCACTCAAGTTAATTGGCTCCAAATGAGATTTGATTTGATTTTATTTTTTTAAAATATTGATTCTGCTATTACAGTTGTTCCACTTCACCTCCTTTCCACCTCCACCTGGTACCCCCATTCCCTCCAGCGATTCCCCCCACTTAGTTCATATCCATGGGTTGTGCACATAAGTTCTTTGGCTTCACAATTGCTATACCATTCTTAATGTCTCCCTGTCTATTTTGAGCCTACCAATTTATGCTTCTTAATCCCTGCACCTTTCCCCACCATTGTCTCCCTTCCCCCTCCCAGTTTATAAACCTTCAAGGGACCTCCATATGTGTGACTCTTCCTCTTCTGGTGGTTTGCTTCGTTTGTTTTTTAGATTCAGTTGTTGATAGTTGTGAATTTGTTGCCATTTTAATATTCATAGTTTTGATCTTTTTTTTCTTAAATAAGTCTCTTTAACATTTCATATCATAATGGCTTGGTAATGATCAACTCCTTTAGCTTTACCTTGTCTGGGAAGCACTTTATCTGCCCTTCAATTCTAAATGATAGATAACTTTTCTGGACAGAGTAATCTAGGTTGCAGATCCTTGCTTTTCATCACTTTGAATACTCCTTGCCATTCCCTTCAAGCCCATAAAGCTGCTTCTGAGAAATCAGCTGACAGGGAGCTCCCCTGTAGCTAACTCTTCTGCTTTTCTCTTGCTGCTTTTAAGATTCTCTCTTTACCTTTAACCTTTGGCATTTTAATTATGATATGTCTTGGTGTGGTCCTCTTTGGGTCCAGTTGTTGGGGATTTTCTGTGCTTCCTGGACTTGCATATCTATTTCCTTCACCAAATTAGGGAAGTTTTCATTATTTTTTCAAAAAAGTTTTCAGTTTCTTGCTCTCCCTTTTCTCCTTCTGGTATCCTCATGATTCAGATGTTGATACATTTGGAGATTTCACAGAGGCTTCTTATTCTATCCTCATTTTTTTGAATTCTCGTTTCTTCTTGCTGTTCTGGTTGAATGTTTTTTCCTTCCTTATTTTCCAAATTGTTGATTTGATATTCAGTTTCATCCCCTACACTGTTGGTTCCTTGTAGATTTTTCTTTATTTCACTTAATGTAAACTTTATTTCTGCCTGGGTCTTTTTTACCCTGTTGCTGTATTCAGTGAGTTCTTTGAACATCCTGATAATTAATGTTTTGAACTCTGCATCTGATAAGTTGGTTCTCTACTTCCTTTAATTCTTTTTCTGGAGTTTTGTTCTCGTCTTTTAATTGGGCCATATTTCTTTGTCTCCTCAGTTTGGCAGCCTCCCTGTGTTTGTTTCTGTGTATTAGGTAGAGCTACTTCGACTCTGTTTTAGAAGTGTGGCCTGTTGTAGAAGAGTGGACTTGTAAATTATGTGGGGCAGAGCTTTAGGTGATCGCCAGGGCAGGACAGCTTGTTTCACCTCTCTGTGACTCTGTGTGTGGGGAGGGCTCCGAGAGGGGACCGTATTGCTGCCTCTCTTCTGGAGGTTTGTCCAGGAGGAAACTGTCTCTCAGCATTCTCCCTGTTTCCAGCCTGTGCATACGCCAGTCGTGCCTTTCCAGCTCTTGCTCTGCTGCTGAATCCCAGAGGGGGTGGGTTTGCCTAAGTCCCGAGTCCATGTTGCGCGTGGGTCACCGGCCAGCAGTGACCACGGAACGCTGTGGATGGCTCGATGAAAACACGCGAGAGAAAACACATGCACAGAGACAAACTAGTTTCTGTGGGGAAGTAGGGACGAAATGGCCACCCCCCCTAGTGGGGAGCGCCCCGATTTGCAGTCCATACCTGCTTTTATTGGGCTCATTTTGCATAATAATTCAGGTAAAGTACAGTACTCATTAGGGGGAAGTAAGGAACCATAGAAAACAAAGAACTCTGCCGGTCTATTGAGTTGGGGGTCAAAGAGCTGTAAGACTGAGGAACAAAATAACTTCCTCCTAAGACCCTTCTCATTCAACTGAGAGCATTCTAAACAAAGAAGGTTTCACAGTAATTTACATATTCTTTCTTAGGCCTGATCACCCTGGGGAATCCGCACTTCTCAGTACCGAGCTGCACCACCCTGTCATTGTTTCAGGCTTAGGTGGAGCAAGGGAACTAAGGCAACTGGGAGACAAGGAGGATTTTTCCCCAGACGATGAGAACTCAGGCTATGTCAAAGCCGAGGAGCGAGGGTCCATCACCCCCTTCTGCTGCAGCCCCCCAAGTCCTTCTTTTAGGGGGCCTCCCAAAGTGATCGTGCCTGTCTTAGGTCGCGTTCCCCCCGTGGGGAATCTTACCCGTCTTTGGCTAACCGACCAAGCTTTTTGGGGTTCAGTCATGAATAAAGCAGCAGAAGCAGCATTCCTGCCAGGAAGATAAGCTTTTGTCTCCTTGCTGGCTTACAGTCCCAAGGGCGTTCCCTTAGCCTTAGCCTAGGCGGGGGTTTCAGCTTCTGATACCAGGCAGGGCGGTTCCCAACAAGTCCATGCAGGTCATTTAAAAGGAGTTTCCTGATAACCGGGCAGTTTCTTCTGCTACCCCAATCTCCACTGGTTTTTACAGCATGAAGTTACGGGGATTTCTCTTCCTGGTACTGGCACCCTGGGTTGGTGGGTGGTCTGGTTTGGGGCTGGGATCCCTTGCTCTGGAGGCATCCCTCCTGATTTTTATCTACCACAGGTGACTGTGGGACTGCGCGTTCCGCCACCTCTCCGTGCCACTCCCAGCGCTCTGTGTCTCTCCGCCTCTCTCCGCCCCTCCTGCTCGTCTGGACGAATGTGGGTTCCTTAAATCCTTGCTTATTGGACTTCCACACTGCTCGATTTTCTGTCAGTTCTGGGTGATACTTGTTTTGTAGTTTAGGTGTAATTTTTTTCTGTAGTTGTGCAAGGAGGTGAAGTGTGCTTACTTACGCCTTCATCTTGACCAGAGGTCCAAATGAGATTTTATTACAGTGCTTTATTTTCTTCTGAGACACTTATCTATAAAAGAAAATATAATAAAAATTGTTAACAAATTAATTCCAAATGGGGAAATCCAAAAAATATTACTAAATTTTAATAAGATATAAAATATAGGAGTAACTGTGACTTCATAGACTGCAAGATACCATTGATATGCTTGTTTTAAATTTTGGTCTAGCCAGCATGGCTCAGTGGGTTGGACTGGTTCGATTCCTAGTCAGGGCACATGTCTGGGTTGCAGATCCAGTCCCTGGTTGGTGTCATGAGAGAGGTAGCCAATCGATATTTCTCTCTCACATTGATGTTTCTCTCCCTCTCTTTTTCCCTCCCTTCCCCCTCTCTATAAAAGTAAATACAATTTTTTTAAAAAATCACTTTTATTTTCATATATTTATCTTACAGTGAAATTATTAGCATAGTGAATTTTTAAAAATATATCACTTGTGTAGTACATTCTAAGACATTATTATAGTGGGAAATGTTCTGGAATTATTGTCTAATGGATATTTTTAGGATTTAAAGTAAAGAATATTCATTACGTATTCAATTTAGAAAAATTGGAAAATGCTGAAATATATGAAGAAAAATAACATCATAGTTCTATCTCAGAGAACCAACTATTTGTTAATATATATGTATTCATTCTTTTTCCACACATAATTTAAAAAAATATTTTATTTATTTATTTTTAGACAGAGGGGAAGGAAGGAGAAAGAGAGGGAGAGAAACATCAGTGCGTGGTTGCCTCTCGTGTGCTCTCTACTGGGGACCTGGCCCGCAACCCAGGCATGTGCCCTGACTGGGCATTGACCTGGCGACGCTTTGGTTCGCAGGCTGCTGCTCGATCCACTGAGACAAACCAGTCAGGGCTGGTTTTTTTTTTTTCTTAAGGTTTTTAGCCTACATATTTTTTTTTGTTTTGCAGACTTTTTCCTTTGAAGCTTTGTTTTGAAGAGCTACTTAAAATTTCTATTGATTGGATGGTCAGTAGTCA